TTAGCATTAAAAAAAAAAAAAAAAAAAAGAAAGAAAATTTACTTTACTAAGGTAACACGTTCACTTTCCAGAAGTGATTGGAATTTGGACATTTAACTTAAGCTTCAAGCAGCTTTTTATGAGTTTGTAGCAATCCGGTGCAGTAACTGAGCCATTTCCTATTTTAAATGGCTTCTATAGAAAATTAACAACTCAGTTATTAAACTAGCAGGATCCTACAATGATACATCTAGTGAAAGTAGACTTAATTAACTTATTTATTTCTATTTTATGTTTCACTAAGAGAAATTTCCATCTCATTCCAGCTGCTTTATTTATCTTTTTCATGGGACTTTGCATGGATTTTTTATTTCTTTTTTTTACTTTGAAGAGTGGAGTTAGATGTTCTTACCATAGAATTTTGCAGGGTTATATAGTAGCTTTCTTTACTGCATTATATGTAGGGGTGTGGTGCAGTGCTTTTATCTGTAGCATTTAAATTTTTTTTAATTTTCCATTTTTCAGGAATAGTTTCTGCTTTGTTAATATTTATACACAGGCTACTTGTTGAAGTAATTAAATATATAACCAAGTGCCTAAGTCTTTCAGCTGATGTACTAGATATTAAATTCTCCTAAGTTATGCAGAATCGTTTTTACAATTTTGATAAATTATGCACTAATGTAATGGCAGTTTTTTAAAATGCAGATTTAAGCCTGTACATTATTGACTCTGATGACTTGGCAAAAGAATCAGGTGCTTTCAGCTTTCTTGAGAAAACCCTGTATGTAGCGTTTGCACTGACTAACAAGATGGTATTGCTGGGTTTTTAATTTAAACTATTTTGGATGTTCATTGCATTATCTTGGTTAAATATTGTTTATTGTTACTTCATGTTGGGGTTTAATTTTCCCTTTTTTCTGACTGTTAGGTTGATAAGATTATGAACCATGTAATAATAGAACATTGGCTAACCTTTATTCATACTTTAAAACATGAATAATTTCTGCCCTGCTACAATGTGACTGAAAGTGTTTTGACTTGGCATCTGAAAGTAATGCAGTATGTTCAACCAGGCATGCCCCAGATTTTTTGGAGGTATTTTATTGAAACCTAAATTTCAGTCAACATTTGAAAACAAAAGCTGGGCATTTCTTCCTGGTGATCTTACCTATAGTTTGTTTTTTCCCGTTTCTTTAAGATTAGTTTGACTTTTATTATTTTTTTTTTTTAATTAACTTCTGTGAAGTTGTTTACTCTGAAAATTGTACTGGAATATTTTAAGCCAAGCTGATCTTTCACCAGGTGTACTGTATGTAAGGGCTTTTCCTGCTAGCAAAATGCTTAAACAGGATCATGTTATTGGTCGTCTGAGCTATTCAGTTGTTTTACAAAACCACAGCATTGTATCAGATAAAATTTTGATAAAAAGTTTTGTGCGCATTTCCAGGGGCGGGAGGGTTGACATTTCCCTGAAATTTCTTGATCAGAATGAGTAAATACTGGTGTTTGATACCTGTCTTAATGAACATGCTCATAAGGTGACTGATAAGTTGTAAATATACCTGAGAAACAAAGGGGTAGTTTTGATATTCTGGTGTCAGTATGGAAGATCTTACACATTTATTTAATACTCAAGTGTATGAAGATGTTTGTAACATAACAGCACAGTAGCCTTGACTTAGTTTCCTTCAGTTAGTACTGTACTTGTTTGCCATGGCCAGTGCTCCCTATCCCTACAAAGACATTTTATTTATTTCACTCTGTAACCTGAAATTCATAGGAACGAGAGTTTTAAACCATGTTACATTAACTTATTTCTGACATTATAAATTAGCCTAGGATATTACAGGAACATAATTGTTATATAATTTATATCAGAACCTTTCTATAAATATGCGCTTACTACATTTGAAATGCTTCCAATGTACTTTATTTGCTGTTTGTATTTCCAAAAAGGATATGCAAACCATAATGTCTATTTCATGGATATTTAAATAGTGAGATCTTCCATGTTGAAGGTAATGTATTTTTTTTTAAGATTTAAAAATTGCTATTTTGTTACAAAATAGAGACCTATTAACAGTTCGAGAGCTCCTTATGTGCCCTCAGGGAAAGAACCCTCTGTGCAACAGAACTACGCAAAACATCTTCAGCACGCTCTGAGGGTGGATATATACTACATAAATTGATCTTGTGTATTTAACCATATCTTTTTAATTTTAAAATTGAGATTTTTAAAACGTGGTTGTGCTCTGCTGGAGGGGGTTGGGATAAACTGCTTAGGTGTTTGCCTACTTGTCCAGTGAAATTACATTTGCATCAGTGTATGTATATACCTGCCAACCTTATTGGTATGTCTCAGAACATTTATATTAAAATAATGCTTGTCTTGCAGCAGGTGATCCCATAAAAACAATAACTCCGTGTTCTTAAAAACTTACTCTCATGTTCACTAACAACATAGGAATTGCTTCTGTGTTGGGGTTATTCTGTATTGCATTCTTTATGTTGTAAGCCATCTCCTGTTTCTCGTGGTGGGTTAATACGAAGTAAAAAGCATTGATTCTCTGCCAGTTTAGAAGAAAGTTCAGTTTATCAGATCCTTCTTCAAAATGGTACCTACTGATGTCATAGAGGAAAAAACACAAATCCAGACATAAGATGTGACTTTTTAAAATCAGGCAGTCCCTGTCATTTGACCCTTTTACCAATGTGTGATGTAGATAGCTTGAAATCAAAGGAAATTTGTAATGTTGGTAACTAAGCTGCCTATGTTGCCTGTGACCTAATTAGAAAAATGTAGCCTGAGGTCTGGGAAGTGGGAAATGGTGTTTTGTTTGTTTGCTTGCTTGTTTGTTTTTGTTGTTGGGTGTCTTTTCCTCCTCTTTTTATGTTTTTGTTTTTCAACTTCTAAGTCCCATTCTAAAGTCCATATTCCTCATTCAGATGCTATGAATGTAGCATCAGTAATTCTCTTTTGTGCTTTCATTCACTTTGTATATTCTGAGTTTACATATGTGCTTCATCTAATTGGTACCTGAACAAAGCAGATTTCCTCGTCTTTGCTGCCATAACTTAAACTTTCAGTACCATCTTATAGACCAGTATCATGCATGAAAGTTGTGCATTGTAATTTTCTAGAGAAGGTACTTCATTGGGTCAGTTGCACTGATTTTTTCCTAGTAGCTATTTACTCTCACAAGAGAATGATAAAAGAAACCTCTTATACCAGGGCTGAAATTTTTCATTTGTCTGGATCTAGGCACTTTCATTCAAATTTCAAGTTGATGCTAAGTAGATGGGGCAAAAGTAAGTTTACAGTCGTTTATAGATTTCTATGATGAACTGTAAGCTTGCTTTTGTACCACCTTGTTATATAAAGCACAGTCCAATTTTATATGCTGCCTTGAGAAAATTACAGGATGCACAGTAGTTTGTAGGAATTTAAAATGGGGTCATTTAAACATTTGAAAACATTGTTTTAAAAACCATCTAGCTTGCCCCCCCACACACACACATTTTAGATGTTAAAGCCATGGCTGTCTTTTTAACAGGTGGAATTTGTCATGATCAGATTCAGCATGTGATTTCAACTCTGAATCTGAATATTTCTTCACTAGTCTCTGAGTCATTTTCTGAGCAGATTGTCACCAGTATTGGTAACTAATCATTAAGGGGGAAAGTTACATTGCAGCTATTTACTGGAAGAACTTTTCTTGTGTTTTAGTGAATGAAGAGTGTTGATGGGATCACTTACTGTAACTCCTACATAAGAACCCCTTCTGCAAGCAGAACAAAAAAGAATATGCTCGAGGAGTATCCCCTTTTCTGGATAAATTGAAGAAATTTGCTAGTTGCTCCTCTATAATAGCGGTTTCTGTGTATCCCTTTGCTGGCAAGGGAGTACAAGAGGCCAAGGCCACCGATCAGCATACTCCACATTTGAGTGGAGTCTTATTTTTACTCCAAGAGCAGTTATTCCCCCAAGTATGAAACTGGCAGTATTGTTTTTTTTGTTTTTGCTTTTTTAATAAAAATCTTAAAATATCCTTAAACCAGTGGATCACAGACACTGGCTGCACTTAGTACTGCCAAAAGCCAAGGTCATTTGCATATATTCCATCGATCTGTCAAGAATTAGGCCTCACTTTATAACCCAAGGCATGGAAGTGCATGCATTCTCTTAGCTGGGCAAACAATTATACTGTAGTTGTGATACAACACATGTGGCTTTTATTTGTACTGCACATACCCATTGTACAGCCACTTGGGAGTATCGTGGTTAGCTTACAGCAACTGCTGTCTGCGTTTATACTG